TGCGGAGCATCTGGCCGGGACACCAGCGAAGAGCAGGGAACAGTCCAAAGGGTTCACAGGACACATCCTTTCAAATCCCTCTTTGCAGCAGCGAGGATCGGGCACTTGCTCTTTCTTCCTCCCATGAGAACTGGAAATCTCCTGGAGATCATTAACTTCAGCAGACAGGGCTCTTACATATTAAGGATCACAAGACCCGTGATGCAAAATCCCATGAGTTCGCTGATTAAGCCTTTCTGCCAGGCTCGAGTCCCCACCGCCCTGGGCTCTGCAGCCGTCTCCCACAGCAGCTGCCCCATTTCGCCTCCGGCCCCCGCAGGGAGCAAGGGCAGGACAACATCCTGCGGAAACAGGGCCAGTTGGTCTTCCACAGTGGTTCCCATCATCTTCTTGTGTTTTGGAGAATATCCTTTTTTACAAGAAAAAGCACCGAGTTCAGCTCTGGTGCTCGCTGCTGCAGGATTTTGAGACTTCAAAGTACACAGAGGGTCAAAGGAGGTTGAAAGAAAGTCTTTGGAGGATGGTTAAATACCAAGGTGGACATTGGTGGGCCACTGTGACCCTGTACAGAGAGGAACATCGCAGGAGGAGCCCAGCAGGCACCTGCCCTGCTCCCATCCACCTCTGTAGGCCTCTGCTGGTTCTTCTCCTGGGGGACGGGTAGACCTGTTGGCCTGAGCCTCAGGCAGTTTGAGCACAGGTATCAGTGTGGGGAGGAAGGGATTCACCACCATGCTGGTCAGGCAACAACTTCACACCAGGCCAGGGTGGGTTTCACCCTTTCACCTAGGCTTTGGGTGCTGTTGTCCCCCTGCTTGGTCACTAAGGCTCAGGGGTGAACTTTGTGAGCCTTACTCTGTGGCCTTTACTCACCAGGGGAAACTTACTCACACCAGGCCTCCTGCCACCATCTGCATGGTCATTGTCATCAGGTATGAGAGTCCTGAGCAATGAGGCTGCTGCCCCAAATTATTCGGTACTTTGCCCCCAGTTGACAGCACAGCAACAAGAACTCGCAGTATTTAAACCTCAGAGAGACTCTGACAAGTCGAGACTGGATGGGGATATTATCACAAGGCCCAACAATGGCTTTACACTCAATTACATTTATGGTTTCTGTGATTCATCTAAACGTTTATGGCTTTGTCACTACCTGGAAGTTAAGAAAAGAGAGAAAAAAGGAAAAGAAAGTGCCGTAGTGAACAATTTTCTGCTGCAAGACACTGGGTGACACAGTAGAAACTGAACGACTACCTTCGGCGGTGGGGAAGAGTCATTTTCTGTGGTGACCAGAGCTATATTTGATTTCTTAGGCAATGTCAGCTTTTGCATGCTACATTCTCTGGCTAATAGCCAGGGAGATGTGTAATACTTTAGCCACACTGTTGTTACTTAATCCTTTCCTAATCTGCAATTTGCGCAAGAGGAGTAAAATCTAAGCAAAGCCACTGAGAACATCTCCACTAATAATTTATCAAACTCCACTTTTGTTGCTGGCAGGAGGCGGCAGTCGCTGGAGGTGAATGTTTTCCCACCACAGCGCCGTGTGATAAACACGGGGCAGCTGATTCACGCTGCACTTATTTTCTGTCATCCACCCTCCGTGTCACCCTGATCTTTCTTCGAACGATAAGCCTGCGTGTGTGCTCACAGCGCGCCGCCGAGGTCCGAGTTTCATCTCTTTCTGCAAATTGCACGTTAATTAAGCATTAATAACAGCGGGAGTTGCGTGCAGAAATCCACACCCACTGTGACAAGGCTGTGCCCTCGCCAAGCAAGGGCCCTGCTCATCAGCCGTGCCTCGGTGCTGGATTCACCCCGGCAGCCGTGCAGGGCACCAATCCCTCGGAAAATGTCCCCGGAGAGGAAAACAAACTGGCACTTGCCAGCCCTAATCCTGCCGTAAAGAAAAGCGTTACCTCTTGCTCTATGAATTTTATTTATTTTGGTCCTCTGGGCAGCGCTTGCTGTTGTTAGAAACATGATTGCTTCATACAGTTATGTTAATGTTTGCATTTGACAGAATGTAATTGATACTTCTGCTGCGACGGCTTCAAAGCCAAATTAGGAAATGAAGTGCTGCACATTAGCTTGTTTAGCTGGTTAAATACTGTAAATAAATACATACAGTGCAATGAAAACTAATGAGTTTTCTTTAAGGCATTTTCTAAATAGCTGGGTTCATAAAAGGAAAAAAAAAAAAAAAAAAAAAAAAAAGGTCCAGCTGTGAACTCATATCCTGAAGGATTTGTAGTTTTGCCGTAACAAAGATTGATCCTGGCTGCAATACGAACCCTGAATTTCACTTGGAGAGCAGGATTTTGCAAGTTACTGAGGAATCAGTGTAAGAACTGTTGCAAATTTCACGGTACTTTTACCAACAATAGTTCTGAGAGATGTTGCATTTAACAAAGACATTTTTGCAAGGGATTAATTCAGAGCATGGTTGTATGGCAGGCTATTCTTCTCGGTGCTCTGCAGGGAAACATTGTATTTGTAAGAGCCATTTGCATAGGATATTTCTTGGTGCTGCTAAATCCGTGCAGTGCTGTAATGCTAAATGTTTTTTTTTCTTCCTGACAGAATGCAATAGCATGAAAAAAAAATGGAAAAAAAAAAATCTGCTTTTGTATAAAGAGATAATCTGAAGAGATTTGCTTGACAGAGTGCACTCAGCACTGATTGAATAATTTGTGTGTTTAAAGCTCTCTCTCGAGCCTGCCCTCAATCCTTTAACTCAGAGCTCGAGAGGAGCCCTGCACAGGCTTTGTGATGCAGCCAAGCGCAATGAATCTCCCTTGTGCATCTTTATAAAAGTGTAGTTTTTTTCCCTTTTCCTCATAAATAACTGATGCAAAAGTGTCTTAAACTGAATTTAAGGTGTTGTCCTAAAATCAGGGCCCTTTTTAGTGCATGTGGAACTGAAACTCTCCCAAAACTTCTTAATTAACAGCACATGAGCCCGGCAGTGTCACCTGCTTGGCAAGGAGATGTTGACCTTCAATCCGAGCGTGCTGAGCTGGCTGCTTTACCTGGCGCCCCACGAGGAAGCTGCTTTACACACTCTGCTCCACTGCTTTAAAAGTTATTGAACTGAGGGCTGAAATGCAGCTGAATATCAATTCGGTGTTGATAAAAATATGTATTCAGGAGATAAGGTCTTTCCTGATGGGGAGGGAGTTGGGCAGTGGCTGAGGATAGAGCCCACAGTGTAGTGGAAAAAAAAAAAAAAAAAATCAGCTTTATTTTTCTTTTCAGCAACAAACAGATAAGAAGCAAAGGTTTCCAGCACCTTCCAGAGAGGCTGACAACATCTTCCAGATTCAGGACAAGAAGGGTGACCAGCTCCGAGAAATAAATAAGAGATTCCTACAGCCCTCATCCAAAAGGGACATTTAAAAATAGACAAATTATGACTCTCTCAAAAAGAAATGTATGCATTGCATAAATCAAAGTTCTCACACCCACCATCAAAGTTTAATCACTTAATATGCTGGTCTTTCAACATGCTCTGAAACTTTGTATACAATAATACAAACGACGGGGTTACGAAGCAATAGCAATTTATTCTGCTGTACAAACGGATGTTGCATTATAATCCCTAAAGCAACACAGAGGCTGTTTGCAGATGTTACTACAATTTGGCATTTATTTTAATTGCTCTGCAGTGTAGCTCATGTGAAATAAAACCGTGGGGTGACCTACACATTCACCTACTACGGGTGACTTCACTGCAGGCAAGAAAAAAAAAAAAAAAAAGAAAGGAAGAAAGAAAGAAATGAAAGAAATGTTTTGAACATTTTCAAGGTTTCACCAAAACATGAACCTCCTGCAGTTGTTTTAAACGGATGCATCAGGGCTCCAGTCCAAGGCTGAAAGCACGGCGGGGCAGGGGTAATTCAATCAGCCATGCGATGCGGCGCATGTCTTTTTACAACTCTTGCAAGAATAACACCAGTAAAGTAACTTGAGATATTTTGGTGTCTGACATTCACTCAGCGAGTGCTAAGAAAATATGCTTACTGCACAGATTGCTGGTTTGTCAGAGTGGGAGGCAAGGCACCTTGGCTCCCTAATGACAGCCAGGGCTCTTTTCTTCACCGCTGACCAGGTCCTGTCCCCTCCCTGCGCTCCCCGCTCACTTTCTAAGAGCAGAGCCTTTTTAAAGTCACTCTGGCTCCAAGACCTGCCTGGAAGCAGTCGCTCTGGTGAGCAGATTTCAAGCAAAAGGACAAAGTTAAACATGAGGCAAAGTATAAATAAAAACCAAGCCTCTCTTCCTCCTCCTCTGTACTTGCAAGCGATGATCTCACCGCTCGGGGTGGATTACAAGGGTGGCTCGAGCTCTTTCAGGAAAGCACATTCTCTAACCTTGATACTGCTGCTATTTATATGCCTCACTCCCAGCCACAAAGCGCAGCAGCTCTGTCATCTTTCAGCTCATTTTTAACGGGAGCACGGGGCGGCTTCTGCGCTTCCGCCGGCAGCAGCACCAGCACCAGCCCACCCCCGGCACAGGCGATGCTCTGCGAGCCTCTCCCTCGGAGACACCTGAGACCCGATTTTCCACTGCCTTGAACATCCCCCAGCCATGCACGCAGGTGCAGGATGACAGCCTTTCACCGCCGTCTGTGCCCAGTTATAAATGAATACGCAGGCTGAAAGGCAATCGGGTGCCTCAAGTTCGGCAGCTGAAACCTGGCAGCCAAACTAGACCGATTTTTCCAAAGCAGAGCCACTTCTTCTGCCCTGTGTTTTTCAGGTAAATGGGACACGCTGTCCCACATAGCTCTTTCCACTCCCTCCAGCCCCACAGTCTGGGAACAGAGTCCCCCATCCCCTCTCACCTTCATGTGGACTCAACCGGGGAGCTCAGGGGTGATGGAGCACGTGCAGGCAACAGTGACAGGCTGGAGTGCTTTGAGGCCAAAACACCTCAAACACTGAAGCCCCGAGACACCCAAAGTCCACCCCAAGACACCACGAGGAATGGGAGCAAGCATTATGAAACCAAGTTTATTAAAACTTTCTACAAGTCAGACTTTGTCATCCAGGTTTCCACATATATATACAGATATTTACAAGTTGGACATAGTGTTTTTAGCTTTTCTGGCAGATTTTTCTACCAATATATACACAGATGTACTGTTCTTTTCCATAGAAGGGTTAAACTGTATCACAGATACAAAAGTCAAGCAATCATGAGAAGTTTAGTGCAACGGAGAGCTGTAGCGCCCTGCTCTTAATGCTCATGATTCTGTCAAGTTAGTATTGCCAACAATAATTCACATTAAATTGCTCTTTGACACCTCTTATTAGGACAAACAAAGTACGATTAAAAAAAAAAAAAAAAAGAAACAAAAAAACAACAAAACCCCACACAGTAAGGTATGTACAAAGTACACAGTCCATGAGGTATACATGGTATTCGTGCAGCGCGCGGGACAAGTCCACGCTCTGCGCCGCGCCCGTGGGGTCCGTCACCCACCTCGGGGCCACCACGGACGCCTCCTCCTCGCCCACTGCAGACGGCCACCTCTTCATCTAAGCCGCCGGGCACCAGATGGGAAACATGGCAGAAGTTTTACGCAGGACTAAGCTTTACTTACCCCCAAACCCAGGAAGCTAATGATTTAGGTCTATTGGTTATCCACGCACATTGGAAAGACTATGAATAATCATGCAAAACAAAACAAAAAATTTAAGGGGAGGGGGGGGAAAAATACGTAGCCAGAGGCCAACAACATACCTGAATAATCAACTTAAGCGTGTACGGAGATTTTATTCTTAAGACTAACTTTCTGGGGGCAAGGGGGGAAGGAGAGGGGATGTGCTGTTCCTAAGAATTGAGCCCGTAGGAAGACACGAACGTGTTTACATATACTGTACAAGATACCCCTTATCGCTGTCCAAGGGAAGGTGCCCCACCCGATAGTGTTACGTTTTGGTAAACGGATACCTTTTGGCACTGGGAGCTAACGAGACCTGCTACTTGACCAGCTCGCTGAGGGCACGAAGTCGTACGGGACACGCCACGGTAACTTGAGGCTGAAGGCTATTTAAAATGATTTTGTGTTCAGCAAATGGCATCAGAGGGGATCCAGCTGGGAGATCAGCTATGCTCTGCGTCAGAAAGGGTCACAGTAGTGATCGCAGCAGCGATTTGCCTTACAGGAGGATCTAACAGCTTCGTCCCTAGGGAAAAGCAACCAGCTGGGGCAACAAGCAGGTAGCTGGACATGGCCGGTGGAGACCTTCCCTCACTAAAGTGCACTTACAGTCAGAAAGCTACTTTGCAAGATGCCAAGTCAATTCCCCCTCCACCTATTTTTTTTTTTTTCTCCCCGAAAGAAACATTTTTTGTCAGATTTGCTCAGTTAGAGACATGTCCTGTGCCCCCCCCACCCTCTGCACATCACTGTCCACATCCCCGAGCCACTGCGGCAGGAGGGGAAAGCCAAGGGCTGGCTTCGAGTCTCTCACGTCGCCAGCAATAAGACTCTGCAACCAAAACGCAGCCGGTGACAGCAGTGAAGGCCAAGGGAGGCAGAAGAAGAGCCAGGAGGCTCTCATGAAGCTGCACGGGTCCTCCAGGGCCAGCGGGACGAGCCCAGCGGCAGAGCGAGTGGGCGGGCCGAGCCTCCGAGCACACGCTCAGGGAGCGGAGATCGACGGGCTGACGTTTATTTTCAACAAGGTCACTTTTCTGATCATACTGGCACTTTAAGATGCTGTGAGTTTGTAACGTGGAAAAAAAAAATAAAATAAAATAATGAAACCCTACGGAGATGCCAGAGGTGAGAACAGCGAGGTTCTTGAGATTTCCGATTAGCAGAAGAAGGAACTAATATCGTCACTGTCTCCATGGTATTCTGGAACAATTTGATCAGAAGTTCCCGTCTCCTGGTCTGTATATCCAGGCTCCAAGACCGCCTCGAACCAAGGATGAAGCAAGATCTCCGGGGCTGTGAGTCTTTCGGAGGGCTCCCGCCTCAGGAGGCTGCGGATGAGGCATCGGGCTTTGGGGGAGACGTGGTCAGGAATACAGAACTGTCCACGGCGGATTTTGGAAAACAGAGTACTAGGGTCCGAGTCATGGAAGGGGTAGCGTCCCACGAGCAGGGTGTAGAGCATCACTCCCAAACTCCACACGTCGGCCGACTTCCCCGAGTAAGTCCCCGTCGTGTTGAGGATCTCGGGGCTGACGTAGGCGGGACAGCCGTGTTTATCTGAGAGCGCGTCGTCCTCGCCTTTGATGATGTGCGTGTCCTCCAGGCTCTCCAGCCTCAGCTGAGTCCTGCGGAGGGGAAGGAAAGGAGCCATGGGTTAGAGATTTGGGGTGGCGAAACACAGGCAGAGCTACAGGCAGCAAAGCCCTCCGCCACCGCAGCCACCGCTCCCTTTCACACATTAGCACGGAGGAAAGGAGTGGAAACAACTTTCTAATTTGCTGCAGAGAAGTTGTTTATCCCAGACCCGAGCGCAGAGACATGCATTGGGTATGTGCTCGGCGATGCCTGCTTAGTGAATGGGGATTTTAGCAAGGTGCCAGGCTCTCGAGGGACACCAGCAAGGCTCCTTGCATGGGATGAGCCAGAACCAGTGTGTCTGTGTGAGTTTTAAAATGCAAAATCCTGCATTCGCAGTGCTCATCAGCTCGTCTGATTTTTTAATTTATTTTTTTTTTTTTAAACTATTTTTTTTCCCTTTCCAGGTGGTACCACATCCACCTCGCCCCCCGTCCGGGTTAACTGGGAGCCTTTCATCAGCAGCGCCTCCGTTCACGTGCTGCGGCAGGGCTCCGCCGGCCGCGCCGCTGCGTGGATGTGCTAACTGCAGCCTGTCCTCAGCGTGACCTCCTGCTGCAATGCAAAATACCCATCGGTTCTGTAAACGGAAAATATGACTCAATGCGAACCGTGGGCCCGGGATTGGCCGCGGGAGCACTGAAACTGCACCTGTGCTGGTGAGCCCAAGAGCCTGCCTTGCCATTGCTTAACCCTCTTCTTGCCAAATGTGATGCACATGACACTCGCCTGTGCAACGCGTATTTCCAAATGAGCCAGGCTGTGTGCAATGTAACATTTCAACAAATGTTTCATCTTATTATGGGCGGGAAAAGCTGCAATAGTTTCCTTCAAAGGAATTACTTTCTTTGCATGTCAACATATGGTTGGCTGTGTTTTAAGGGGGGCAGTTCTGGTTAGTTTTCTTATCGCATTCATAACCGATATCCTGACGAAGCGTTAGCAGAGTTAAAAAAAAAAATAAAAAAAATTCTTCTGTCTCAATAAATCATCTCCTGTTTCATCAGATTAAGCACAACTCCATGACAGCTTCTACTTATTTTTTAAGCTTTCCACGGGACAAGCAGCTGGTCAGAGTCAGTTTTGCCGATTAGCACAGTATTTCTGGCTCTGCCATGTGCAGTGATGGACTACAAGCGCAGCAAACACCCCAGGGAAAACGCTGAATGATCTTCCCTGACCTAAATTTAGAAACTAATTCCAAAAGCATGCCTGTGGAAGGGGGGAAATTGGAACCTCCTCGCTATAAACCGAGGCTTTAGGCTAAGTTTTACCAAAGCGCTTTTCTTCCTCGCAGGATATTTAACCGTGTCCCGCCCTCCCTCCTGTGCACGCCCGCATCCACAGCACGGGCAAAGCACCACCACCACCGGTCATGGAGGGAGCCAACAGCCTCAGAAGAGGCAGCAGATCACCTAACCAGCAGAGATTTTGGGAGGAGACCCCTCTCGTGCTCCGCAGCGGGGTTTCTCCATCCCCTCCTTCCTCTCCCTGCCCCAGCCCTTGATTCATTCGACCCCGGCGGAGTCCCACACACGACATCTGGCACCGAGTGCCCTGACTATCGCCCCTTTGTCCCCCAGCGGGTGTCACTGAACATGTGCTGAATGAGAGGAGCCTCACGGCGAGTTTCCTCCATTTCGTCAGTCGAGACCCAACTACAAGCAGGCATGCACCAGCTGGATCTCTGACCTGCTCCACGCACGTGACGCAGCCCGCATCACGCAGGTGATGCCCGGCTTACACCACCATTCACGCTCCCTGGGATGCTTTTTGCCTTCCCAGATGAGGCTTTCCTCCCCACCCGCTCACCCAGAGGCTGGCCGCCGCCAACCGCTCACCTTTCTTCATTGGAGAAGACAAATTTCCTGAGCTTGAGGTCACCGAGGACGATGGCCGACTGGTGGCAGTGGGCTACGGCCGAGACGATCTGCTTGAAGAGCCGGGCAGCCTCCTCTTCCCTCAGCCTCTTGCAGCTCCTCACATAGGAGTGCATGTCCCCAAAGTCCTTTTCGAAGAAGACATAGGCCTTGGTGTCCCCGAGGATCACCTCCACCACCCCGGTGATGTTGCGGTGTGACGGCAGCTGGATGTACGGCCGGATCTTGTCCTGGTAGTGTTTGAGAGGGAACACCTGTGAAGAGGAAATTAAAAAAAAAGAAAGTTCGTTTTCAAGGGCGTTGGAAGCGGCCTCGCTCGTAGCAACTCTTCCCAAACAATGACGAGGGAGCTGGAGGGCAGCCAGGGCTCCGCGGGAGCGCCGCTCGCAGCGGGCTCCGAGCCCCTTTCCTCGCATCGGCCAGGGGAAAACCAAAAAAGCAACCCACAAATCGCCAAACCTAACCCCAAAGCCAAACCTAAGGGTTTAACCCCAAAGCCTCACGATGATCTCCAGGGGTACCCCAACCCCTTGGGCTCACCCCAATTCCTCCGCCAGCCCCTAGCGAGCGGCGCTCCTCGCCGGGCGGCTCCGTGGCGAGGCTCCCCCGCCTTTTACCCCAAAAGAAGCCCCAAGGGAAGGGACACCGAGACTCCTCGCCCCCTTGGAGCCCCCCAACTCACCTTACAGCGGAGCTCCCTGCCGGAGCTGACGCTCAGCGCCCTCGACACCTGCTCCCGCTCGGCCAGCGGCAGCAGCAGGTAGGAGGCGATGAGGCTGGGTCCCGCCGCCCCTCCGGCGGGCGAGGACGGGGCGCAGGGCGAAGAAGGGGCGCTGAGGCAATCCGGGGGGCCGGAGGGGCACTCGGCCAAGCGAGGCCACTTGGAAGCCGGAGCCTCCTCGTTGGGGCCGTCGGGGAGCGGCGGCAGGCGCTTGGCCGGGGCGCTGCGGCAGCGGGCGGCCGGCAGGAGGAGCGCGGCGGCCCGGCGAGGCGGCGGGGGAGCCGGGCGGCTCATGGGGGGAGCCGAGAAAAGGGGAGCCGGGATCGGCGAGAGGAGCCCGGGGTCGGGGTGGATTTGGGGTGGCTGTGGGGTTAAGGGAGGAGGAGGAGGAGGTGGTGCTGGAGGAGGAAGGAGCGCGGCTGGCGCATCCCCTCGCTGTCCCCGCCGCAGCCCCGCGCCGTGTCCACCATCTGCCGCCGAGTCGGTGTTAAAGTAGTTGGTTTAAAAAAAAAAAAAAAAATCGCTTTTCCCCCCTCCTACCCCGGCCCTGACGCATGGGGAAGTGGGAGGGGAGGAAGGCTCGGCCCCGCCTCGCTGCGCCCCGCTCCGCCCCGCGCCCCGCAGCGCCCCGCCGGGCTGGGCACGGGGCTGCTGGGGGTCCCCGAAACCCCGAAACCTTTTCCCCGAGAGCCCGAGGTGCTGGAGACGAGGGAAGGGGCAGCCGAGGGAGAGGGGAGCCTCTGCGAAGCCCCCCCTGGAAGTGGCAGCGATGCTTTGGGTCGGCGACCCGCAGGGTGCTGCGGGGATGCGGTGGCAGAAAGCTCGGGGCGGGCTTCGAGATGGCATCACCGAGGCTTTCCGTGGGCTGAAACCTAAAAAAAACAAGCTGCAATGCCAGGAACCCCTCCTGTGTGGGTTCAGCACCACCTCAGCCCCGCTGTTGCCTCGCCAGCCACTATTTAACCTTTGCTCATCCCCAAGCCTGCCCCACAGTGCTGGTGCGTGCTCACCATCGGTCCTTCCTGAGCGTGGGCATCACCACCAGAAATAATTTTAGCCCCCATTTCGAAACCATGTGCTGTCCCCAAAAGGAACAGCATCCCCAAAATGAACAGCATCCCCAAAGGCACAGCATCCCCAAAAGGAACAGCATCCCCAAAAAGAACAGCATCCCCCAAAGGCACAGCATCCCCACGAGCAGCTGAGGTGGCCGGTGAGGAGCAGGATCAACCCCAAGAACCCCCATCCAGCCCAGAAGTATGGCTTTAAAGCCATATTAAAGAGGTTTTCTGCCGGGACTGCCAGGAAATGGAAGCAAAAAAAAAAGAAAAACAGACAACAAATCATCCACTGAAAAAAACAAAAAAAGCACAGACAGCTGTAGTTTTGACAAGAGTGCTCCAGAAGGAAACTCTCCCAGCTTTGCTGTTTACATATATGCAAATGCGCTGCAATCCGGTGCTGAGGCTCCCTAATAACTGAGGGAGCCCGGGTTTTGTTCCTGCAGGCCCAGCACCCATCCTGCTCCGGTCCCCCCATATTAGCAGCAGGCAGGGAGCAGGATGGGGTCCCCGGCGTGGTGGTGATGCCACGAGCGCAGGTACCCGCCGGGATTCCTGGCGGATAACTGCACGGCACAGCCCCGCCTGCCCTCAGCTCCTTGTAGTGTATTTTAAGAAACACATGAAACTCTGGTGCTGGATGACTCACAGCATAGCAGTCCCATTAATGCGTTTAAACATAAAATGCATATGCCATAAAGGGATATCCCAGGGGCTGCATTTTCCTTTCTTTCTTTTTTTTTTTTTTTTTTTTTTTTTTTGGTAACAGAAAGACAATTCGGCGAATGTCTGCAGATTGTTTCGGAGCGATTCACCGCAACCCAGAGCGTGCTGGTTTATTTCGTTCCTCTTATAGGTGAAGCACGCAGGCGGGCCCGCCAGCCTTTTTTTGGTTTACGTTTCCCCTCCTGGAAGGCTGATGACGGGGATAGCGCTGCCGGCTCAACTGGGCCGGCGGCTTCTGCGTTAACGCACCGCTTGCTGCGTCCGAGAGAGCATGAGGTGGGGCGAGGAGAGCGTGTCAAGGGTTTTGGGGACAGGGGCACGGTGTAGGCACTTCGCCAAAATAGCGACGGACATACAGAAGTGTGCAGCAGCATCTGGTCGGTGCCCCCCGGCTGCTGCACAGACAGAAAATTTTCGGCTCTGTCACCGAAATGTGGCCGAGGTGAACCCAGGTATGTTAAATCTGGCCGGCAGAAGGTCTCTGCACGATGGGGGCAGCTCCTCCCAGCAGGAAACCTTCACGGCTTCTTTAAAACTGGCATGCTGATGGGTTCCCATAGCATTAATATCATGAAAAAATGTGTAGTAGCGATGCAAAATTAACAATTAACCAAACTAAGAGTGCTCAGTTCGTAATCCCCAGTTAGGTTTGGGTATGGATCACAGGGAAAGGTCCACATCCAGCCTCCTCCTTACCCTCACCAAGTTCTTTCCAACAAGCCACTGAGCGGAAAGAGAAGTGATTCCAAGTTTGGGGTTTCTGTCTTTTCTAATTTTGGCGGATCCCCAAAACAAAATATATATATATCCAAAAATAAAACCAAACCACCAACCAAAAAAAGGGATGCCAAGGGTGCTGGCTGCACAGCACTGGTGCTTCTCGGAGGGCTGAAACTTGTCCTCCCCAACCATCTCTGCCACTGCTTGCATGCGAGCCTGTTTTTTTATGGACCAGTGCAGAAAGAAGTAGGGATTCAAGGAAGAGCTTTGTGAAGAGCAGAACTGCTGCAGCATTTCAGCATTAGAAGGCTTTTTGCACGACGTGGGGCTCCTACCCTTGCCATAGCGGACTCGTGTTCAGACCCACTGTAGGTCACTTCATTTGGGCATCCAGGTGTATCGCCCACATTGGTGTCCTGAAATCACAAGCCATTGGGGTCAGCCTTTTTCTCCCTGCTCAAGCCTTCCTCATCTCATCTCCTCCTCCCCCTCAGAAAAGGATTTTCCTTGAGCTACCTGCTTAGCATACGCAAAGAGAGCAATTCAGCTCTACCCAGCAAATACAAGGAACCAAACACCCGGCCTTGGATGCTCCAAGAGCAGGAAGGTGGGGCAGGGGTGGCCTTTGGGAACACAGTCCTTGTCCTTGGCAAAGGACAACAGCGTGCAACAGGCACTTCCCATGTCCTAAGGAAGTCTGAGGAGTTCTCAGTCAACGGGAACCTCGGGCATCCCCTCTCCTTGCATGTTATTTTAAGGGAATTTCTCTTCTGTGGCGTTCAGGCATCTGCCCGTCTCACCCTCAGCCCGTGCCTAGGCTCACCCGCTCAGCTGCTTCTCCCGAGATGCTCGCAGAGTTATCTCCACTGCTCCACTTCTCTGACCCTTTATCTTTGTAACTGGAGCAGCCGGCGGCAATGAGAATTGTGTAACCAGCTCCCCACTTCCCAAGTGCTTGGGACAGGTCTGGTTACTTTGATAATGCGTCTCCTGGGACACACGGAGTAAATCTCTATTAGATTAGGCCACTTATAAATAAACCGGGTGCTTGCTATGGGAAGAAATTAAAAAGTCATTATTTTAGTTATCGGATGACGGACACATGACACACAAATGTCTCAGTGAATATTAAACTATCAGGCAAATGATGTAAAATAACTATCTTTATTTTACAAGTTATCTCAAGCCATTTAATGATATTTAAACTACTGTTAAGACTTTAAGCCAGTGTTGTATATCCAGCAGAGAGCCCGTGATCTGCCATGGAGTCTCTGTATAGACTCGCCCCACGCAGAAAAGGCTCGCAGAGAAGTTGCACGGCCAGGTGATAAAGAACTTAAAAGCCCCGTTTTATAGCAGGAATCGCATCTGTGGTAACCCTACAACCAGCCTTACACATTGTGAAATTCAGTGGCAGATTCAGCGCTGAGATATAAAACACATGACAGGCGTGTAGTGACATCAAAAGAACTGAAATGTAATGGCGTTCAGATGTCTCCCCTCGAGCCCTCCCAGAAACTCTTCTGAGGGCTGCTGTCGCCAGGAAAGCCGAATAATTCCCTTTTGATAACCCTGTTATCAAATCCAGGGAGTCTCATGAGCAGCACCTCCTGACTTTGTTTCTGCGTGGACCAAGGAGCATGAAGGCTTCTTCTGTTGCTGGTGAGATGTGTGAAGGCTCAGGTTTTAAACCTCAAACCCTGTTTTTACTTCAGAAGCTGATTGCACAAGCGGACAGTGAATGAGCGTCTCTCCATTTCCCTTGCGGTCAGAGAAGATCCTATTCATACTGAGTTTACAAGCAAACACTTCCTTTGGTAAGCTTCCCATGCAATTCAATTCATGTGCGTGCTTTCATGCCCTGTCTGCGGGTCGGGACTAACATCCGAATAACCGCGTGAGGCACAGTCTCTCCCCAGCCCTGCTGCTGTTTTTAGGCAGCGCTTTGAACCAATAAATCACGCAGGTTTTTAGGTATGTTGGTGCCGTCCTGTTAAGGCGATTGCTCACGCAGAAGGCGAAGCACATCCATGGGTACTCATCGCGTGATTTGCACGCACCCCAGGATTTTACCTGCTTGACGATCAATGTGATATTCCTCCCTCTTACTGTTACTGGCTTGCAGCCTAAAATCCGCTGGCACCTACACACAGGATCCTCCTCTGGGCACTGCTGTGACCGTGCCACGTGTCTGAAATAACGTGCATTCACTGCGAGTGCTTTAGGGCTGGAAAATAAAATCGTTATTTATGGAAGATTTGGAATCCCTGCTTGCAGTCAGAACCCTGTGTGTTAAAAATGAAAAAAATCTTTGCTGACTGATGGCTTTGCAGAAGAATCTGCACTTGGAGTGAGAGGACATCGCTTTAAAGCTTTGGCACTAGAACTGTCCTTGGGATATTCTAACAGTTTCCACTCCAGGAAACACATTTCCTAGGTGCATCATTCCCACTGCATCACAGAGCACCACCCCTCAGGGAAATGCTCAGCTGACAGACCACACAGTACCTCAGGGTCCACACAGGGGGATTTTTAGGGCAGGTGAAGTTTGACATTCACTTGAAACTGCAGTGGAAGTTAATCAAGTCCCACGGTGAATCCTGCGCTCGCTTTGGCCACAGCGCTCGAGCTATTCTTGAGAAAAAAACGTCATGAGGCACTTGTGACCACAGGTAGGTAAGACCTTTGTCATCAGCCACTCATGAGGAAACATGAGTATATCCAAGAGGACATTGTCTAAAATAAGGCAGTGTGTTGGCCTTGGCTGTTGAGTCATCGGTATCACTTCCTCCAGCCCCTGCTCTTGCTCCGGGTATTTCTCAAGGGAGCACTGACTTAGCCTTAGTCTTTTTGATGCTTCTGGAATGAATAAGATCACAGCTCAGGAGCAGCAATGATGAATATACCCTTGATTCAGAGGAATGTGTGCTCCTTTTAGCACAAGTGTGCTAAATCTTCCATGAGATGCCTGCCTGATTAGTTCTTCTCTTCACACGTCATGGCTCCGCTGATTTGAAGGCTTCAGAGGGAGTCTCTGGTTTTAAAATGGAGAATCTGTTCCTGCGAGAGAGCTCTGCTAAAGCCTCGTGCCCCAGGGTACCACTGAAAGCTTTTGCATATAGATCTCCCATGCCTTTTAGTTGTTTTAATGTTTGATTAGGCGTTTCTTTAATCGGTCAAAATGCTCCATGGGTCTTCCCCGGCCGACAGGGAAGGTCGGTGACAGACCCTTACTACATCTAACATCGGGACCCCGACTGTCTCTAGGTTTGCTGTACTTGTAAAGGACCCCTTATGCAACAGGAAAGAAAAAAAAAAAGCCTCACCTCTGAGTTTCTTTCCTTAAATATTGTTGCAAAATTCCTGACGTCAAACAATGAGACACAAATTACCCTGTGAACTGTTAACATATGCCTGTTTACATATGATATCTTACAGCCAAAACAGATTAAGATTTGAAGCTTTAACTGCTGTTGTTTCCACTTCTGTGAATCATACAGATCAGCTTATTCATCCCAGAAACTTATTTTTATTCTTTAACTCTTGCAAGCTACTTCTACCCAGAGCAGAGTCTATGTGGGCCGTGGGACGCGTGGGAACGGGGAGGTCACTGCTGTGTAACGAAGCCCAGACGTTGCAAATGAAAAGCACAGAGCTGCCACTGACTCCAGCCACCCCGATGAAGCAGGAGTGTTTTATAGCTTCCATCAGCTCAGTTGATAGGCACAGAAGCCTTCTGTATTTGCCAAGGCAATTCTGTCCTTCCGCCCAGTAAGTGCCAGCTGCAACTCACACTGGTGACCAAGCCTGGATTATTCCAATTTCAGAAGGAAAAGTACTTGCAAGTATCAAAAAATCAGCCATGAAAAAGCAACAGGATGGCTCAAATTCTGGGTTCAGAGAAAAATAGATTCATTCATTGTACTAAGATTCCTTGGGCACAGTTTAAATTCAGAAGGGCCAAATATCTGGGGGACCACAGCTTCACTGATTGCTGTAAATACAAGTTTTCTCTAGCGGTTGAATCTGTGCAGTACATCACTGATTTTGGCATGACCCTTTTAAGCAATCCTGACATAAGTGCATCAAATATTTGTCTTTTTCTGAATAATATGGCTGTGGCCATACTTGAAAAAGAGGTGTATGATGATTAAAGAAACCTACCTCTATTTAATTACATACACCTCATAACCTCATATGTCACTGTTATTAAAGCTAAGCAAAGAAGCACTCCCAAAAATCAGTCCATTCCTCCCAGCTGAAGGCTGGGAAGGATTTCAGAATTTATAGGCTCTCTGATTCACTAACGCTGCCCAGCTCAGGCTAGCCAAGAAGGAAAAGAAGATCCTGTATTTTGCCGTCACCATGCCAGCAGCTTGTAGGTACAAATTAATCTGGGTATAATCTAGCATTTATAATGTTATGTATTATTTGAAGGTATATTTAAACATCCCAACACCTACATGAACTAAATTTGAGGTGCGATGCTGCGGCCATGGAAATTGTAGACGCATCTTTGCCTCTGAAAATTCGGGAGACTGATTACCAGTAAGGATGGAATTAGAGCCAAGAGGACAACATGCACGGACCTCTATCAGAAACTGCAAACTGTGGAGCCACCGTAGGTTTCACACAGGTTTCTCTTTCTGAGAAAAAGCTACCAACAGCTTAGGACATCCCTCCACCACCACCACCACAACCACCACTTTTGTTTTGTTATGTTTTGGTTTTTACTTTTTTTTATTCCAATACTACAGTTAACATCCTCCCTTGTGGTATTTCATGGTATCACTTTCCTGAAACTCAGCAACCCACCTTCTGAAAAGCGATTAGCCTGAGACCCGAGATGTCTGAAAAGGGACCTGACTTTCACACATAAGCAGACAAACAAGCACACACTGCTCAAGTCTCCCTCCCAGCCTCTTTCAAACATTTCAGCTGGGCTTCCAGACAGAAGTACTCGTGATCACTACTGAGTTTTGAAAAGATAGACCTTTGGGGTTAAACCACATTATGAAAATTATCCAGCTAATTCCCATGAAGTGTTTTGAACACAAAAGCTCAGTGCAAATAATAATGGCCCAGTTCCCTTTTTTAGCTATGAAATCAGCTTGCAGATTAATATTCTTCAATTACAAAATAATAATTTCATCTTGAAGTGGTTTGCACTCAAAGTGCAATTGGGGTTAATAACGGTCTAATAAAGGAAAGCTGTTAGCAAACAGCAGCCCAGAATGAAAAGCTTAGCATTTTGGTAACATGGTTGCATTTTATATTTAATGTCAGGTTGTAAGTTCAGAAAAATGACCTGGGAAAACAACATCTAACCCACCAAGGATCCCAAAGCTCAAAGAGCCCTGTATTTTCAGTTTCACACATGCCAAGATATTGTAGTGATTGGGCAAGGGGGAATGGCTTTAAACTAAAAGAGGGTAGGTTGAGATTGAGATATAAGGCAGAAATTCGTCACTCAGAGGGTGGTGAGGCCCTGGCACAGGCTGCCCAGGGAAGCTGTGGATGCCCCATCCCTGGAGGTGTCCAAGGCCAGGCTGGATGGGGCTTTGGGCAGCCTGGGCTGCTGGGAGGTGTCCCTGCCCAGGGCAGGGGGTTGGAACCAGATGGGCTTTAAGGTCCCTTCCAACCCAACCCACTCTGTGATTCTGGACATGCCACCTGACCACCAACCAAGGCAGCTCATTTTACCTGTGGCTATTTCTGCTGCATATACCTAGCATCTTATCTGCTAGTCTGCAGATCAATTTCAATAGCAAATACCGAGTGTCACAAAGCTTAAATCTTGTATTGAATTTGTACCTAAATGCATGGATATAATATTTGGTTATCTGTTTTTAAATTCAAGTCATATGGTTACAATATATTCGTATTGTCTACAAATTAGTTACTGGAACACATCTGTAAATAATTGGAGTCTCCTAACATACAGTGTTACAGCAAAGCTCCCTGGGAATTCCACACACACACACAAAATCTGAAATAAGAGCTTCTGCATTTCAAAAGAGAAGCATAATTTAGTGCAGAGTGTTCAATAATTATAAGAACAAGGCCAAGATCCCCAAAGGTGAGCGGTAAATTTGTGTGGCCACACACAAGGTACAGACGTGTAGCACGTCATGGAAATTAAGCTCCTCTGAAGTATCTTGAGGTTTGTATGAAAACAGGGAAGCACTCCCAAGCAGGGCATATAACTTGGGTAAACTGTGGTCAGTGCCCAACTCTGAGTGTTCCCAGTACTTACAGAGACAGTAACAGAGCTATGTGAAACACTGAGCGAAGCAATCACTGTTAAATGCTGGCAGAATCTGCATCTCTAACAGGCTGAAATAATTAACACGTTGACACGGAAGGTTAAATAACCAAAATCACATTTTATTTATCAAATCTAAGATTTTTGAATTTCAGAAAGGGGAGAAAACAACGAGCTACACTGGAATCCCTCATATTTGGCAGTTTAAGAAAGCACTTCCAGTTACAGCTGAGACCTTCAACTTTGCCTATAAATGAAACCCTTTAAATAACAATCAGTTACACAACCTGCTCACAATCAGCAGCTTATCTCACAAGATCTCTAATAACAAATTTTCTTTGTGGCAGCAACATCTCCAGCTGACTTCTACAGCGTTGACCAGCTTTGTTTATTCTGACTGTCAATCGCTCTTTTAAGTGCTTCGTCTTGCACTAGATCTGATTCTTTTACATCATCATGGCTACAGCCAATTTTAGGGCAGCTGTCAAAAAGAAAAGAGAGACTCGGGTAAATGAGAAGAATTGTATTAGTCAGATACAGGCTTTTAAACGACATCTGCTGTTTTATTGTATTTATCTGGGATTCACTCTCTCTATCAGCAGCTCGTTACCTCTTTTCCGCTTCACCAGTTCTCTGTTGGGAAAAATAAATCCGTTTATCTACAGTGGAGGGAATCAACAGCTGAAGGAAGGAAGAGGGGAGAGGTGGAACCTCTCACCTGGGGATCGCTCTCTTGCTCCCTGTACACAAGCTGCCCGCATTAGTAAGGGTACTAACACTGCCCAGAAACCTTGCTGTGCTGCTTTCTCCCTTTGAAGCCCTCTCTAAGCTGCAGGTAACTACTTCTTGCCCTATTAACCTGCAGTGGAGCAGCATAATCTTCGCTGATAGATAAATAGGGAAATTAATTTCTAGGGAAATAGATAAAAGAGAAGGAGACTTGCAGGGGCTGACTGATGAATCAGGGAAACATCAAGTCGGTGTGAAAATTTGCCAGTCCTTTTATGAACTGAGAAAGCACAGAAAGGAGAGACGGGGTCAAATGAACAGCCTCTAAATGAAGATCAAATACAAAATGGCTTACAACTACTTGAGACAGTCAGAGAAAGATACTACTGTTGAAAAATATTCATGGACCAGAGGTCATTTTCCTTTGGCAGTGGCCTAAACATTCACAGACAGTGCCAGTGGTCAGAAATCATACTTTTTCTGATTTTTTTCCCCTATTAGGAATAATCTTTATCTCGGGTGCTGAACTTATTTACATTCAGTACTCACAGCTTTTATTCCAGACGTGCCCACAGCTTACTGTGTTTGTCATGAGTAAGCCACTTAATTGCTCTGTGCCTCAGTTTTCCCATTTATCACCTTATTAGAGCAATAACTTCACAGATTAATGAATAACAAGTCCGAAGAAAAGCTTCCAAGGTTTGCTGTAAACACAAAGTGTTAGCGTGTCCTTCCACGCAGTGGAAAATTGTGAGCAAACCAGATGCATCAGAACGGCCTCAAGAATACGGCACGTCTGCCAGCACAAAGCTGGTGGCTGTGCCTGTGCCAGCTGGAGAGCTGCTGCTCAGCCAGGGGACTGCCAAACACACCGAAAAGTAGCAGCACGACCAGGGTGGTGAGCTCGAATGAGGAACTCCTTGCATGCACTAGCCTGGCTTCCCACCACGGCAGGCTATGGTTTTTTTAAAGACTGCATTTTCTCAAGAAACGTTAAAATTAGAGCAAGTCAGTGAGATTGGGCAGGGAAAAGCAGGAAATCTTTCTTATTTTAGTTACAGTGAGGTCTGGCTATTGCTTGGTTTTGGCTTTTCTACCATGCTGCAGTACCTCCTGTAACAAAAGGAAGGTTGCAAGCTCAAAACCCAAGATTAAGAACTGCCAGGATTCAGACTGCACGAATCACTACAGTTTGGGTATAACGTAGCTTTAAAGCTGGGCATTTTACAGCTTCGGTGGAGATTTTTACTCTTCATTTTCATGGTAGTAGAGAGTAGATCTTTTCCTGATGGATTTAACACCACAGAGAAATGTTTAGATATGGACATCCTAAATTCAGTTCCATATTCCAGAAGGTATTTTGTGTAGTGCTTCGGGGCTGTTGAGCACCTGCTTCCAAGCCTGACCCCGTCCTCCACAACTCTCACTTTGTCCTCTCCAGCTTGGGAGCTGTTTCCCAACTCCCCTTCCTCAGAGTGCCATCCCCATGGGTGCCTGATCTGGTAGCAGCGCTTCCCTGTAGCCAGGAAGAAGCGTGGAATAAGAAGTCCTGCTCCACCTTTGTACCCATGTGGAGGAGCGTGTGGAGTAACAGAAATGCCAGAGCTACAGATGGAGGAAGTCAGCTGATTGTAGCATTATCTCTGGAGAGATCAGGTTGATAGACTCTCTACAGACCTTCCTGAGCAAACTGAGTGTTTATTAAGATCACAACTTGGAAGTTACCATGAGGTCATTAACCCCCAAAACATCAAGCTCTAGCATTTTTGGTGTAAAAACAAATGTGAAGTTAATGACGACAGTTCATGACATAGCATGTCCACTCCATGTGCTCTAAAAAGTGTTTGAGACCTTTTTTTTCTCTTTTACACTTAGGTGTTGGGGTTCTTTTTGGAAAATCGAAACAATTCTAATTTTAAACTTTTCAAGGAGAATTTCTGGTTTAATAATTTAGGTTTTACATGTTTTCATTCAACAAAATATGTCCTATGTGGAAAGTGGCAAGCTGCTTTAGTGCTATAAAGTCAGAATTATCTCACTGCACTGCAGTAAGAAGTGCTCAATGCCATCTGATCATTCTTAAACTCTATACTACCTAGGAGACTGACTTTTATTATTTCTTATTTCTAATTGTATTGGAATATAACTGCAAAAGAGAGTGCACAGCGGAGACGTTTATTTTTTCATTAACCCTAAGGCTTGCTAAATAAGCAGCGGAAATAAAATGAGCAACTGGATTTTATGAAGCTTCTCTTTGTTGTTCACAGCTATATAAAATCTCTTTTATTCTGCTGTGCAGGTACCGTGAGTAGCTGTAACTTCCCCACACACTTCCTGAATATTTCCTTGCACATTGTTTTCATTAAATAAAAAAAAAAAAAGATCCTTCATGCGTACAGTACTAATGAGGAGACTGTGACTTGGGCAGACATTGAAGTATTACTTCCTGCAGCCTTGCCAATCCAAATACATTTCCTAGAACAAGTGGAGTAAAATTCCACTTACACAGCAAAGCAAATAGCTTTTCCACACATTCTTGTTAGCTTACCGGACTTTTTTCTTTTGCTGCTTTCGAGTCTGGATAATTTTTAGAATGGCATCTTGCTCATAGGAATGCCCACAGACTTTGTTTCGAACCGGCTTCTTCATTTCCACCTGTAATCAATAAGGTTTTATTTAGAGGAGCTGATAATGCCCATGAAAGTGCTTCTTATGAAATGTATGCGAAACAGCAGGAAGTCTGTTTACCACTCATACATTGCATTACACCGAGATTACAGGGTCAGGTCCCACACGGTGAACTGCATTGCTACTTATAAGGTGCTTTCTTCCAAGCAGCGTTGCTCCTTTCTGATAATGCTTGTAATTTTTTACTGCCTGGTTTTTCACAAGTATTACAGATTTGTAATGAACAATCCAAGGAAGACTACGAAATAGCTATTTCACAATCTGTTATAGTAGCAGTGATAGCATACCTGTGTAATGGGACAAATGAAGTTCACCTGACTCTGAGTCACAGCTATATCTTCATCGATTTGTTCAATGGCATCATTATCATTATTATCTGATTTAAGGCGAACTATAATAGGAAACAAGACAATTTTCATTTAATATTTAATATAGATAGCCAATGCTTTAAAAAAAAAGCAAATAAAGTCCAGCATATGCCAAGCATTATCTCACAGCGATATCTACTATAGCACAACATATTTCTGCATCCACTCCCTATAATGCAAAAACTACTGTGCTACAGTAGAAAATAGTAGAAAATGTAGATTTCTTAATGGCAGCCTTTTTTTTTTTTTCCAGTAGCTATTTATAGCCAATGTTAGAATGGAGAGCTGGGAAAGAAAGCAAGCTGGCCTAAATATATATGTAAAGACTTTGGTTTCCCCTTTTCAAGTTCACCAAAGACCAGTAGCCTGCAGATGAGTACCCAAAATCTGATAAAAGATGAGGTGAAGCTTTTGGAGATTTGGCAGTCCTGCCCTCAAGATCAGTTGTGTTTGAATGTCATAGATGGGCTCACTATACAGCCTGGATACACAGTATATGCTCTAAGAGGAATTTGTACTATTTATCATAATACATCATTTGTAAAGTGACAGCTCTGTATTTTAACAAGACTACAATTAGTGAAAAACAAAAGCTAGGGATGTGCTATTTGAGATAGACAACAGAAACGTTATTGGAGTCACCTTAAGGAGGTTACCAAAATGAAATACGATCGTCTCCCAGAGCACACCTGATGGCTCGGGGCCAGGGAAGGAAGGGCAGGAGGAAATCCACCTTGAGCCAGAGATGCTGCAGGTCCCGGCCTCTGCCAGAACAGCAAGGCAAGGTGTAACTCTGCGTACCCACGGGCACGCCAGCCTGGGGTTTCATGCAGAAACTAATTAGTCAGAGTCAAAACGGAGACACCAGAACAGCTCAGGAGGGTGCCTTGTTGCTAAGTGTAGCCTTAATAAATGTCTACACGTTGTTTCATCTTTTCCTAACTTCGTCCTGTTACTGTGAATCTGGGCTGTCAGTGGAGCGCATTTGTTTATCTTGCAGTGTTATCTGGGAATACAAATGAAGTTAACACCTGCCCTGCGTTTCCATTCCTTTGGGGGAACTCTGCAGTGTTTCTGCAGCAGTGCCCCGGGGCGTATTTCTCAAGGTGTCCCAAGCTGAACGGGACATTTTTCTCTCTAGCTGCACAAGCCAGTTTGCAAGGCAAGAACACAGGGTTCAGAGAGGACGAAATCATTCAGTGGCCTGAGTTTGCTTTGCCTGCCTATGAGGCAGAAAGAAACACAAGCCAATACCGAGGGTTTAAAGTCATTTTAGGATTTTGCCTTCTACAAAGTCCCAGCCTTGGCTCCCTTTGCTATCAGCCCATCTCTGCATCCCTGGTATTCAGTCCTCCACATCTGTTAAGGACCAGTGTTTCCTAACTTAGGGTCAGTCCCGCGTGCCTGTACAATGCCATCACCTTCCTGATGATAACAGAAGACATCACCCTTGGAGCAAGCAGAGTCTCTCACACCTAGCCTGGACGGAGCAAGCACATCTCTGGTTGAGGGACTCTTGGCATGGGGACTGCAGCCATCACTTCACCACAGCACCTCTCGCTCTGCCAGTTTTCTTCCTTTGTGTGTTTTCCTTCTTCCTTAAGAGAGCTTGCCCTTCTCTCCATCCCATACCAAGAGTTTCTCAATCACTCAGGAAAGTTTCTGACCCTGGTTCCTGCAAATACTTATGCAGGCAAGCACCAAGGGTATTCCTCTTTCTGTTAGCAAGCCCTCACTCAGTCAGTAGGGTGCAGATGCAAGGGGAAGAGAGGCTCAAATATCAGATGTCAATAATAACTTTAGGGCTTTCATCTCCAAGAATACTAACATACCTTTATCTGATACTGACCCCCTAACAGAAGTAAGTATTTGCAAATCAGAAGGAAAAAGTGGGCAAAAGTTACCTTTAAATACTGAAACTGCAATAGTATAGACAGCAGAAAAAGACTTGCATCAGTTACCAGTTTTCTATTATTTTTAGACCGCTCATATATATGGGTTATTCTATCATAAACACATAGTATTTTAAAGAAAATACAACTTTTTTCCTTTTTTTTTTTTTTTTTTTTTTTTAAGGAAGCTTTTGAAATACAAAGCAATGGGTAAAATCCCATTTAAACAGTAAGGCCAAAGAATATTCCCAACATTGGTAGGAGCAAGTTTCTGCACGGGCTGGTTTATGTAAACACCACACTGATTTTCTTCCTCTGAGTAATGCCAGCAAAGAACATGAGATTCAGAATTCCCTTAAATTCATGTATCTGCAAATTTTGACGTACTGCAGCTCCAGCCTTTCCTGCTGAAAACATCTGGAAGCATCCACTTCAGTGTGCTGTACTTTGTGTCACCTCGTGAACTTGGCACGTACCCTCAGTGTGGCTGCACATTGTGGCAGCCCATCAAGTTAGAATCCAGCAGTGCTAGCAAGATGGAGCACACAGGTGATTGATCACAAAGGATGATGATTATTTTTTATTTTTTAATCAATAAGATTTAGTTGCCAAAGAAGCTGGGTAAGGTTTTAAGATGTGGGGCTTGTGGTTTTACTTTTAATCTAAGCATTCCAAGTCAGGCACGTAAGTGGCCTCTTCTGGAGGAGCGCTCACCTTGTGCAGCACCTTTTGACTTTGCTGAGGAGTTACCCCTTCGCTCATCACTTCTGCATGCGTTTACTTAGGTACTGACACAAGAATTTCGAGACTGTGTTGAAGCATGCAAGTCTGAAAATGTTAGCTTAAGCTTGGGTGCCGGTGCTTGACTTTCCCTTGAACATCTCAGGTCTTGAAATTATGTGGGATAAGTCACAGTCTGGGTTTATCTCTCTCTCTTACTGGCTTTGGAGGTGATTTAGATGCCTCACGTTTAGTGGCTGAAATAAGATAAGCTGAGACCCATTCCTGGTAGGGGGGATATATTAATCCTCATGGATTCAAACTCTCCTCTTGCTGCAAGCTCATCTTAAGCACTTCACGTTGGGACTTCATTTGCAGTGAAGTAGTAGGGGAAGAGTAGGGCCCTGGTTTCAAGAGGGCCCTGTTTTCATCACAGCACAAATGAATAATTACTTGAAATATTTCCTTTTCATAAGCAGCTAATATTTTTAATAATAAATACGTAAGTCTGGGATGATGCAAGTGATACCTCAAACATGTCAATAGCAAATTAGCATAAATCAGATAAAACACCCACAGATTTGTTGTTATTGCTTGATGTTCTAGATTACAGAAGGAGAGAGGAAAATAACTTTTTCAATTACAGTAAAATTTGCAGAGATGACACAAAAGAACAGACATACATACATCCCGAACTGGTCAGTAGGATGTTCTAAACCATAGATCTACGCCTGTAAACTTACATCGGAAAATGTTTTTTTAAGGGAATTTTACCAAATGAAATGTAGAAAAGTTTCTAAGTATGACTTCTCTATAGAAAGAAGAAACAGGAACACCAAATCATGCATATTTCAGCTAAGTCAGGTTACATTTTTCTAAAACTGGCTTTTTCTTGCAAATTAAAACCAGATGCAGAATACACTAAGTTATTGTTCCTGAAATTCAGATGTTGCCTTAAGCAACAGAAGTACATACATCTATTTTGGTACTCTAACGCATGACACTTTAAGAGACTTAAGAGTTTCTAGTTTTCTATCCCAGCCAACTGAAATCTGTTACGAGCGTGTTAACACATTTTCTATCTGGCTATCTCAGCAATGCTGTTTACAGGTAATTAGTGCCCACTGTTGTAATAAAACTGCATTCTCATAGAGGCAGCTATTTTTGGTAACACATCATAATGAATTTTGCAACTGCCAACTGTTTTTGACTTATTCAATTTTAATTAAAAGCGGGTTGTACTTTATATCTCAATCACTTTCATCTCTTGATAAAAAAGTGACTAATGTGCCTTAGCTCAGTTTTTTACCAAGTCTGCCGAGAGACTGCGAACTTTTAAGCCAACTTTTTAAAAAGGAGAAAACCATAGTGAAGAGGTATTACCTGCCATGTTGTGGATTATATTAAGCGTGGATAGTACACATATTAAAAACTAATAATAGAGGAAAGCTCCTCTTTGTTGTCATTTCCACTTTTATGACAGACAGACTGCTGTCTGCTCGCTGCTTCCAGGGCTATAACAACGTCTTCTACCCGATTCCTGTTCCTCTAAGGCGGAGAAGTTTGCTGTAACCTGGCCACGAGTAAGTACATGTTGCAATGTGAACTTAATTGATTTCTTTCCTTTTGTGCTGCACCACTCTGCCTTCTCACCTGCCATCAGCCTGACGCTAATCCCGGAAATCAAAGCGTAACGTTAAGCATGCAGGATGGAGGCTTTGTAAGACTGAGCCAGCAGACAGACATGGTCTTGGCTCCCAAGAGGGTCTATTGTACTGCTGACTCTATAGAAATAACAGCAACTCACCCAGGCTGGGAAAAATCCTATCTCTGAGAGCTCCAAGCAAAACAGGAACGTTGTGAGGGCAAGTCAAATGCCAAGTGCTCCTGCCAGCAGGACAAAGCAAATAACAAGAGGGAGGGAGCTGAAGGGCATCGCATCCAAGAGTTAGATACATCAGTGAAAGGGGCAGTGACTGGGCCTGGGCCGCTTCTAGCACACGGTGAGAAAGGGCCAAGGACAAGTCAAAAGGAGGGAACGAGACCCATCGCTGTTTTACACAAAACATGCTGCCGAGACCACTGGGGCAATGCTGAGGAGCAAGGGCAGTGCTCCTGTCGGTGTCCTGAATTTGGATCAGCCTTTGAGCCTGAGAACCAGAGCAGAGCAGCTGTGTGGTGTCCTGCCTCCCAGACAGATCCACAGCAAACTCTGCAAGAGGAATGAAAGAGAAGGGGAAGCACAGAGCAATAAATTCCCGATAAACTTTCCCAGTCTCTAGTTATTCATGCCCAAGGACTTCCTGAGTCAGAGGTAATAGCTTTGTACTTAATAGCCCCTGGAGTTTTCCTGCAATGAATTTCTCTAAACTTGGAAAGGGGAATTTAGGACTGGACTTTTCAGCTTGATTAGAGACAGTTATCTTTGCTAGAAAGGTTAGCAACAGTTTAATTTTCCTTGAAACTTACCGCAGAGGCTGCAGGTTACAGTTTAATTTGATTTTTAAAAGGGAAAATAAGGTGTGCAAGCTACAGCTGCAGTCAAAAAGTTCAAAGGCTTTCTGCTTTTGCTAGAGGCGAACGATAGTTTAATTTGCCAACCAAGCCAAACTAGGCTTTGCATTAAAGTACATTACAATTTGATTACTTGCTGGTGTTGCAATACACAAGTTGATCTAAGGAAGGTGGCCTCTAACATGTTGCTCCAGCTTGCAATAGCAAATTTACTTGCTCTTGTCCAGGCCAAGCAATTTGCTGTTAATCTACTGACAAGTCCTTCACATATGCCCCATTTTACACGTAATTCTGTAAGGAGTATATAGACGTGGACTTGGTCCACCCAAAATAAAATGACAGTCCTGTGATTATAAGCCATTCCGATTTTCCTGGAGTACGAAGAGTAATTTAGATGAGCAAATTAGTGAATTGTGAGTTTCTTTACATAATAGGAGTGGGGAAGGAAATGACAGTATCCTGCACAAAGCAACTGTCCTCTATAAACTCCTTTTTAATGCCATCAAATTCACAGCTCATGTGTATTTTACCTTACATTGTCCCACTGAGCTACAGGTCTTTCAAAATACACTTTTCCTAATGGAAATACTGTTCCCATTTTATCCTTTCACTACAGGGTAGAGCTGGCTGATGTCAGTTTTCCAGAATGACCTTATAACGAAGATAGACTATGAATTGATGGACGTGTTTTGGGACACTCAGTTACAGAGCTGGGAGCGAAGGAGACATAACAAGACTTGAAGTTAGAGAAAAATTACTGTCTAATCCATTAATGAATAAAATGTGACTACAAAACCCACGTAGGAAAAAAAAAAGGCAAAAAAAAACTCCAGAGAATTGTCCCGTGAAACCTTCAACTCATGCACTATTCAGAGCGAGAAGCAAGACGTTGTCTTTGCCTTGAGATCTTGGGAAATTTGGCTTGCATGCAGCGGGAGCTGTGTCCCTAGGAATGTGAACAGAAAGTGTACCTTTGATTGTAAACCACGCAACTGGAACAGTTTGGTCGGAAAACAGAGAGAGGAAGCTTTCTTGCTTACTTTGTTATTGCATACAAACATGAGAAATCCACACTTCAAAGTCCGTGGATGACATTTCAAACAGCAGTTTCCTCATCCCTACAGTCTGGACTAGATCTGAAGAAGCTCCTGGGGGAGATGAAGCTTACCTAAAAAGATGTCATGGAGGCTCATCAGTAAGCTCAGAGGAGTCACTATTTCTGGAAAATCTAAGAAGGCCATACTCTCCCATCTTAACTATCATCACCCACAGTGACGTGCAAACTTAATAAGCAAGTTAAACACCAAAGGCTTGCTGAAAATAAACCCAACCGATAAACAGATTACTTAAACAACCAGGAAACTCTAGGTCTACATGAAAGGGTGCCAGGCATATGACTGCTGAGCAAAAGTATTAGGGATGCCACAATAAGAGCAAAGAAAGACAAAAACTGGAATATCTTTGAGGAAAAAAGATACACAGGCATAAGCTACTAAATTACAAAGATGTGAAAAGAACATACAGATTACTTGGGTCTTCTCCTACTCTTTGGAATAAAAAAGGCTTAACAATCATGGCTTCATACAGTATACAGGCAATTTCCATGCTTCAAGAGCATCATTTGATATATCAGAGACTAGAAGGAGAATAACACACATGAAAAATGAAGAAGAAATTCACCCCACACACATGAAACAAAAAGTTGCAAAAGCTACAACCAGAAAAAAAAAAAGCAAAAAAAAAAAGCCCTACCATTTCATTAGAAGATGAACCACTTTCCATTACTAACATTGTGGTCAGAATCTGGAATGTCACTGATGCAATGCTAACCATCAAATGACATGAACATGTAGGGCTTGCCTACACAGGGAAGCTGTTGCAAAATAAGCGAGGGTGTGAATTCAGAATGCATTAGCTACTTGGCATTCACTCGCTGTGTGGACGCTCTTGCTCTGCACTAGGAGTGCCTCTTGGCTGTTTAGCCTAATCCACTTCCACAGTGGACTCGAGAAAGGCACTGTTGATGCTGGACAGGAGTGCTGAGAGGACAGCTGTCGGGTTTTAACAGCACCTTGGAGCCACATCCATTTATACATGAGTCCCTAGCAGGCCTTGGATGGTCTGTTCTGAAAAATTAATTCACATGCTCTCTGAACAATCCTTGCCAAATTATCCCCATATTAGCCCCTGAGCAGACACCATACCTACGATGTCTCTAACAACAAGTAATGTCATGTATCTTGTAACCTGTATGATCGGAGGTGACTGTGAGCCTTTTAGGACATCATTTGTGCATTCCCGTAGTCATTCACTTCTGAAAAGCTGAACTGGTGATGGACTTTGATGTGAAACATGCTTCTGCTAGAAGACATTCCTGTGACAGAAATGCTCCATGGTACCTGAGGGGCAGAAAGCAAAGAGAGCTGTGGTTCTTCCCTGACTAGCCCTGCTGGAAAACATCTTCAAATAGTCACCAAAATAATGCCACAGGACCCAGTGTCAGGAGAGCTGTGCACGTAGTTTGTGTGTTGGGGCATCGGTAAGAATATTTATGAGGTACAGGGCAAGAAGGCATGAACCTATAACCCCTAAACACAACCGTGGTGATTTTGTGATGGCACCAACCATCTTTCATGGGAACAAACAGGTGCACAGTATCGCTCGTGAATACAGACGTGAGCTCACAAGAAAGGAAAAGTGAAACTGAAGAAGTGCTGGGGACAAAAGATTCTTTTTCCTATCCCCCAAAGCCCAATGTCAAGACATTTAAAAGAAACTGTTAGGCGAGATATTTCATTTCAGAATGAATATGAATGAATGGTTAGAGCAACATTCGCAATTCTGCTATTAGTAATGCATCTCAGCCCTTCAGAGTGCTTTCAAGAACTCTTAACCACTTCAGAAATGAAATTATTTCGGTTAGAAATATACAGCGCCGAGCGTTGAAGCACCATACATTTCCACACAGCTCGCTGGCGTTACACGATTAAGATGTATAGAGAAAGAGGCTGTGCTGACGTCCCAAGCTTCTTCTATAGAAATGAATTTCCGCTGTATTTCACACCTCGCCATGAGAACTCAGTTTGCACTGCCTGAACTACCTCTGCTGAAACACTCCTGGGTTCGGCTGCCCACATATCGTGGCCATTCCTCCAGCGCCGTCCTGGGCCTCGTGCCCGCTGCAGCCATGGCCCCGGGTGCTCGCTGGGACCCGCTCGGGGCCATGCCTTCCCCCAGATTACCACGGCTGTGAGTAGTTTCCAAATGCATTCTTAGCAAATGTCTCAGCTCCATGCTAAAAGCACAAAATATAATACAGAAACCAGTATCTTCTAGTAATTGCACAATATCTGGTTGTTTACTCTGAGAAAACTATCACTTGTACTGAAGAACATGTGTTCGATTTCTGGTAAGTCATATTCATATAATCGTGCTCTTTTGCTAAAATACATGGGAAAATGAAAAAAAAATAACACCACACAACACTTAACATCATATCGAAACAAGTTAAGAAACAAAGCTCACAGCTATGTTGTTTTTTTTCTTTTGAAGAGGAACTTACAGATCTGCCATTGCTCAATCACAAAACTGCAAGGTTTTCATTTAGGTTAAGGCAGAGACATATTGCACGTGTGTGTACGAAGACATTCTGCAAAAACCACGCTGCGCACACTGAACAGATCTTCACTATAATAATCCTCAGAAAACTGTTCCCTGAAAGAAATTAAAAAATGTTGCCAATCCCAATTTATATAGCATCCTTCAAAACAATGTCAGGGGGGCTTGTGCAGCTAAAAACATAATGCTATCAGCAGTTAGGAACAGCTGAACAGTTACTTTTCTCAACCTGTGATTTAAGATTAGGCTTCTTGAATGGCAGTCAGTAGAAAAAATCTAACGCTAAAGACCAGAGCTATAAATATTTATGGATTATAACTGCAGCAACCTGGTAGCTTCTGATGGTAATTAGTAGTTAGCTTTAAAAACTGATCAATATTTATTTAAAATCTCTTTCTGAGGATTCTTATTTGCCAGGAGTGTAGCTGGAAGAGCACATCATCATTAATGCTACATGCATCCGAAAAGCATTACCATTGTATAGGTGTCATTTACACAGCAACACACGCGCTTCAGACTTCACCTTGACATTTTTGCATGGTGCAAAAACCGGATAATGTGGAAATGGCTGTGCTTTATGGAGAGTGGTAAGACTGTGATGGGCTTAACTAAGGTCAAGCATGAGGTCTTTTAAGCCCTCAAGGTTCCTCCATGTCAGCATTTTCCTCTCCTGATCAAGGCAGTGAAATGGGACAGAGAAAGGACTTAAACACCCTCAGCATAAACACACAGCAGCAGTAATATGAACAGCTAAGCAGGACAGACACAGCACGGGAAGACACAGCTATGTTGAATTGATGGGACAGCAGTGGCAGTGTCACTTGCACTTCATAGTAATGGCAACGTGAGCACACAGCTAAACCACGTGGCAGTTCTCATCTTTCTAACAAAGCTCACCTCTTCAATGTTTTATTTATTGCCAGGATGGAGTAACATCGCTGTTGTCCTCTTAATGAACTATTAGCTTCCCTTGCAGCTTTTTGGCTGGCACATCAGCTCTAGCAGGAACACACTCAATCCCTTTGCGTGTGCTAAGATCAGGATTCGGTCTCTAGAAATAAATGCACTGCTTAAGGAAAAAACAAAAACAAAAAGCAAAAACAAAAAAGAATGCAACGGAGCTACCCTGTTTCAAAACTCTGAAGATAAGACATGGTTGGTGCTTGTTTTACATCAGAAATCAAGCACAGCCCTGAAGGTTAAGCTTAGGTCAGAGTTACTGAGACTCTCTAGTTCATAGAGGCAGTTCAAATTCCTCCTTTTCTACAAGTTTAGCTATAGCTAGTAAACCTGTGTGGGAATTGGGTTCAGCGACTGGGAGGAGTGGAAATTTTTTAAGGACAGATTCAGTATTTCCCTTATTCTAGGTTTTTATTTGCAGATGCCAGCACTGACAGCCATTTTTCAGGATCAAATACTGCCTTGGTGTGGCTTGCATGCTAACAGTAGAACAAGTAACACAATTTAGGAAATCTTTCATTAGATTATGAAGCTGAAATAGCCTTTTCGTACAGACCACAAAGGGATGATATCCTTTAAAAAAAGCAACAGAAAACACTAGTCACAGGCAAAAGACACAGCTAAGCTCCCCGTGACGAAACACACTCAGCCTTAACCAAAAACTGCCACAGCCATGGACTTCCTAGAAGTGGCCTGCCAGTTTTCTCACTGCAAGGCTGATCGTGATTCAGCATCCTATTTTGTAGAAATGAGAACACACAAAGTCTCAGAAGGGCAATTCATAGGGCTCATCCTCGGAACAACAACTAATTCCAGCAGGAGGGTAGAGGGCAATGCAGGGAACAGCAGTGAGTCGCGTGCCCATTCTGTCACCATCGGAAATGATCACTCCCGAACTTTCAGCTGCTTGAGGTGCCGTCCACCCATGGGTGACCAACGTGGCAGGGAAGAGTCACTGTGTTAGTGACACCCACAGGTATGCGGACAGGGCAGTCGTTCAGCAGTCAGCACTGCTCCCTGGGAAGTGACAGTCTTTGCAATCACGCATTCCTGGGTTACTACATTTGGCCTCTGGCTTGTACAGCGCAGGGCTTGAAACGAGGAGCTCGATTATCACTGACAGGGCTGATCTGGAATTTCAGGAATGGGTTGTAGTGGGTCCGGGGAAGCAAACAGCATTTATGAAGCGAAGAAGCACTCTATACCTTTGCCAACAGAGAATGTTATATTATTGCGCAGAGATGTTGCAAGAGCATGCACGCAGTGTGGGAAAAGTGCAAACAGAGTCGGTGCAGTAGGAACTACAGGGGTGATGACATTATTTAGCAAGGGGGGCAGGAAGGCAGAAGGAGTTCCACACCAGTCAGCACCTGAAAATATGCTTCAGCAAGTTACTA